AGGCTGAGATCTGAGGATCCAGTTCAGCAAAGTCTGTAACTCTTATCCCTAATGAACCACTAAAAAAAAAAAGTTACCAACAGAGTTACTGCTTTTTTGTTTTTTACTTATTAAGGCTATCATGGGTTTGCATTTGTATGATTTATAAAATTGTTCTCAAGCCAGGCACAGGAGGAAGACACTTGTTATTCATAGCTACTCAGTAGGCTGAGGTCTGAGGATCATGGCTCAAAGCTAGCCCAGGCAGAAAAGTTTATAAAGCTCTGATCTCTGATTAACCAGCCAAAAGCCAGAAATGGAGTTGTGGCTCAAGTGGTAGAGCACTGGCCTTGAGCACAAAAGCTCAGGGACATCACCCAGGCCCTGAGGTCAAGCCTCAGGCCCAGCACAAAGAAAGGTAGGCAGATAGATAGATAGATAGATAGATAGATAGATAGATAGATAGATAGATAGATAGATAGATAGATAGATGATAGAGAGATAGATCTCCCAAAGATAATCAGTTAAGTCCTTAACCTGAATATTTATGAAGAAAAGGATACTTACATTACAGAGATCAATCATATGTTTTTGGCTTCTCTCCCTTATAATAAAATTAGGGATCTTTATTGTCCACAGATTGTCACATAGGAAACTTTAAAATGTTCTTTTTTTGGATAATACAGGAGTTTGAATGCAAGATCTCATTCTTCTGTTTGTTTTTTATTGTAAGAATACGGTACACAGGCATTACAATTACCTGGGCAAGACAACGAGTACATTTCTCATCAAGCATTGTTGCCTCCTCAAGACCTCATGCTTGCTAGGTAGACACTCTCCCTCTGAGCCGTGCCTCCATGGTTTCTGCGGTAGTTATTTTGAGAAGAGTCCTGGATCCACCTGTTAAACACTTCCCGCTGGAGCTGAAATGATAGGTGTGTGCCACCATTCCCGGCTTCTCTTCTGTTGAGTCTCATGAACTTTTTTCCCTGGGCTGGTTTGGAACCACAGGGAGGCTGCGTTCAGTGCTTCAGGCTGGGCATTATGTATTGAGTCCCCGCTGTGGAAATGACAGGACTTTCTCAGGCCTGAACACCCTGCTCTTCCCTGTCTTCCTGGAGTACCTGTACGGGAAGCCGAGATCCCGCAGCCACATCAGCAGTGAAAGCTGTGGCGCTCTCTGACTACTTCCTCCTCCTGGAGCTACCTGGCACTCGCCCTTGTCAGTAGCAGTCCTGTGTTGTTTTTGTTTGTTTGCTTGTTTAGGACTTCTCCACTATTCACTCTGACCTCTGGATCTCCCTAACTGCATAGCTCTCCTTTCCATGCAAACATGGTGTGTTTTACGCATTCCTCACGCTCACTGGAGAACCCCACTTGTGTATGCCATCCCTCCCGTCCCGATCGCATGCCGTCAGCTTCCTTGCTTGGCCTGTCATTCTCACGGATATTGGCACCAGTTTACTGGGAGAATATAAACTTTTTTTTTTTTTTTTAATGTCATGGAGCTTAAACTCTGGGCCTGGGCACTGTCCCTGAGCTCTTCAGCTAAAGGCAAGCACTCTACCACTTGAGCCACAGCACCACTTCTGGTTTTCTGGTAGTTTATTAGAGATTAGAGTTTCATGGACTTTCCTGCCAAGGCTGGCTTTGAACTGCGACCCTCAAATCTCATCCTCCTAAGTAGCTAGGATTACAGGCATGAGCCACCAGCACCAGGCTAAAAATATCTTTTAAAACCATGTGTAGGGGGCTGGGAAGGTGGCTCAGTGGTAGAGCGCTTGCCTTGCATGCCTGAGGCCCTGGGTTCGATTCCTCAGCACCACATAAGAAAAAAGCTGGAAGTGGCATTGTGGTTCAAGTGGTAGAGCACTAGCCTTGAGCTGAAGAGCTGAGGGACAGCGCCCAGGCCCAGAGTTCAGGCCCCATGACCGGACCCAAAAACAAACAAACAAAAAAAACGTGTAGGGCTTAGTGGTAGAGTGCTTGCTTTGAAAGCATGAGGCCCTGAGTTAGATTCCTCAGTACCACATAAGCAGAAAAAGCCAGAAGTGGCACTGTGGCTCAAGTGGTAGCCTTGAGCTAAAGAGCTGAGGGGCAGTGCCAGGCCCAGAGTTCAGGCCCATGGCTGATTAAATAAATAAATAAAGTAAAAATAAGAGCATGTGTATTGCCTGATGCCACTGATTTTGAGCTCAAGGCCTAGATTTGCTAGGTAGGTAATCTACCATTTGAGTCATGCCTCTAGCCCTCCTGCCTTAGGTTTTGTTTGGTTTTGTTGCCAGTCCTGGGGCTTGAGCTCTGGGCCTGGGTGCTATCCCTAAACTCAAGGCTAGTTCTGTACCACTTGAGCCCCAGTACTACTTCTGGCTTTTTATGAGTCGTTTATTAGAAAGAGTCTCACAGACTTTTCTGCCCAGGCTGGCTTCAAACTGTGATCTTCATCTCCATCTTCATTTCCTTAGGGTTTTTTTTTTGTTCTTGTTATTTTCTTTTGCCAGTCCTGGGGCTTGAACTCTCTACCACTTGAGCCATAGTCCCACTTCTGGCTTTTTCCATGTATGTGGTATTGAGGAATTGAACCCAGGACTTCATGCATGCTAGGCAGGCACTCTACCAGTAAGCCACCTTTCCAGACCCTTAGGTATTCTTTTAGTAGGTCTTGTCCTTATGCCCAGGGCCAGTCTGGATCATAATCCAACACTACTTATTCTTCGTGAGTAGCTAGCATGATACCCAGCTTTCATTGATTGAAATGGGGTCTTCTGAGTGTTTGCCCAGGCTAACCTGGAACCATGATCCTCTGGATTCCCACCTCCAAAGATGCTGCTATTATAAGCATGAGCCACCGTGTTGAGGGCTCTGTGTCTCTCTATCTCTCTGTCTGTCTGTCTCTCCTTTTTTTTTTTTTTTGGGTCGGTCATGGGGCCTGAACTCGGCCTAGGCACTGTCCCTGTGCTCTTCAGCTCAAGGCAAGCACCCTACTGCTTGAGCCACAGCGCCACTTCCAGTTTTCTGGTGGTTTATTGGAGATAAGAGTCTCATAGATGGGGCTGGGAAGGTGGCTCAGTGGTAGAGCTCTTGCCTTGCATGCATGAGGCCCTGGGTTCGATTCCTCAACACCACATAAGCAGAGAAAAGAAAAAAGCCGGCAGTGGCGCTGTGGCTCAAGTGGTAGAGCGCTAGCCTTGAGCTGAAGAGCTGAGGGACAGCGCCCAGGCCCAGAGTTCAGGCTCCATGACCGGACTCAAAAAACAAAAAAAAAAAAGAGTCTCATAGATGGGGCTTGGAAGGTGGCTCAGTGGTAGTGTGCTTGCCTTGCATGCATGAGGCCCTGGGTTCGATTCCTCTGCACCACATAAGCAGAAAACGCTGGAAGTGGTGCTGTGGCTCAAGTGGTAGAGCACTAGCCTTGAGCTGAAGAGCTGAGGGACAGTGCCCAGAGTTCAGACCCCATGACCAGCAAAAAAAAAAAAAAAAAGAGTCTCAGATATTCCTGCCCAGGCTGGCTTTGAACCGAGATCCTCAGATCTCAGCCTCCTGAGTAGCTAGGAGTACAGGCATGAGCCACTGGCGCCTGGCTGTCTCTCTCTCTCTCTTTCTCTCTCTCAACAGTACAGGGGTTTGAACTCAGGGCCTCACCCTTGCTAACCTGCCCCTCTACTACTTGAGCCATGACTCTTTGTACTGGTTAGTTGAAATAGCATTGTACCTCCCACCTGGGTGTGTACCAGAGCCACAATCCACCTATTTTAGGCTTCCTGTTGCTGAGATGACAGGCCCAGTTTTTATGGGTGGAAATGGAGACTCCTAGACTTCCTAAGCTAGCCTGTAGCTATTTGAGAGTCCTGTGCCATGGGTGAAGCTAATGGACTATGGCCTTCATTGTTCTGAGTTCTACAGAAGTCATTTCCTTGGAATGCCTGATACATGTTCCTTTATGTTGACTGGCCAGATTCCGTTGGCAAATTTATTTATTTATTTATTTATTTATACTGTTTCCCTTTCTGTCAGTTTCTAGGTAAGTGCAGTCTTTCATTTTCTCTTTCTTTATTTATTTCTTTTTTTTTTTTTTTTTTGTAAAAAGATGACTTTATTGGGGAAATGTATAGCTGACCAGCCAGGGACACACCAGACTCGGGAGCTGAAACTGCAACTCTTTTTCTTTTTTTGCAATGGGGCTTGAAACTCTGAGCTCTTCAGCTCAAAACTAGCACTCTACCACTTTGGGCCACCGCACCATTTTGGGGTTTGTTTTTTTTGGGGTCTGGTCGTGGGGTCTGAACTCTGGGCCTGGGCACTGTCCCTCAGCTCTTCAGCTCAAGGCTAGCGCTCTACCAATTGAGCCACAGTGCTACTTCCGGCTTTTTTCTTTTTGCTTATGTGGTGCTGAGGAATCGAACCCAGGGCCTCAGGCATGCAAGGCAAGCGCTCTACCACTGAGCCACCTTCCCAGCCCTTTGATTTTTTGGAGGGAGGAGATCCGGTCGTGGGGCCTGAACTCTGGGCCTGGGCGCTGTCCCTCAGCTCTTCAGCTCAAGGCTAGCGCTCTACCACTTGAGCCACAGCGCCACTTAGGGCTTTTTCCTTTTTGCTTATGTGGTGCTAAGGAATTGAACCCAGGGCCTCATGCATGCAAGGCAAGCGCTCTACCACTGAGCCACCTTTCCAGCCCCCCATTTTGGGTTTTCTAGTAGTTAATTGGAGATTAGAGTCTCACAGACTTCCCTGCCTGGGCTGGCTTTGAACCACAATCCTAAGATCTCAGCCTCCTGAGTAGCTAGGATGACCGGCGTGAGCCAGCGGTTCCTGGCCAATCTTTAAATTATGCTCTAGGAACGTCTCCTATGGGTCTCTGCTTCTTCCTTTAGCTATCTTTTTGATTCTCCTGCATGTCCCTATCTGCTATCATGACACGTAGACGCTGGGCCGGCCTGGCAGGAAGGAAATAGACAGTTGTGAAGCCGCCTCATATACAGTCACTATCAGAACCTTATTTTTCCTTGATCCTATTTGATCAGAAATTGGATGAACCTTCGGGATGCAGAGACGGGGAAGATACTCTGGCAAGGAACAGAAGATTTGTCTGTCCCTGGGGTGGAGCATGAAGGTACTCCTGTGAGCATACACCGTGACCTCTTCACATCAGGGAGCTAAGTAAATGCCCATTTAACAGGCCAGTGGACCCTGAAGGCATAGCACACACACACACACACCTGTTGCTGGCACTTTTTCTTGTTTCCTTTTCTTTCTTTTAAACATTTCTTTCTCCCACTTCCCAAAATCCATTTTGTGCTAAAAATTTAACATTAGAACATACCCAAATATACAAGTTTAGATCTCAACTTCTTTTTGCCACCAAAGAAAATGTTCATTTTCATTTCCCTAAGTAAAAGAAAAGGTGCCACCGAACGGGCAGTCGTGTGCCTGGCTGGGGCAGCTAGGTGCTTTTGTGGTGTCCCTTTGGCCACAGGCCAGACACAGCGGACCCCCCTCCCCTCCCCCAGGCCTTCTGCCTTCCCTTGGGTAACGGGGTTACCCTGGCCTTATCTGAAACGTAACGTGTGCAGCCCGCTCAAAATCAGCCACAAGAGACTCAGAAACCCAAACAGTGCAGTCACGTGAATTTCACTTAGCATGGCTCCAACCTATCTTTTCTCTTCCAGCCCGTGTACCCAAGAAAATCCTCAAGTGCAAGGCAGTGTCTCGAGAATTGAACTTTTCTTCAGCCGAGCAAATGGAAAAGTTCCGCCTGGAACAAAAAGTTTACTTCAAAGGGCAATGCCTAGAAGGTGCTCCATTGCCTGCCGCACCCTGTGGCAGGGCTGAGGGGGGCGGACGAGCGGCCGGGCAGCCAGGCAGTTTGCAATAGGATTCCTACACTCTGCAACGTGGGGACCCCCAGTGAAAACAAACTACAACAGGGCCAGCCAGGACAAGGGCCTTGGAGGACTGGGACCCTGGGGGCCCTGGTGGCACCCTGATGCTGTGGAGGAGGATGCAGAGGAAGCAGCCGCAGTCAGGCCTGAGGAACGTCCTCAGCCCCCTTCCCGAGCTCTGGCATGTCAGAAAAGAGATCTCGTAGGCACCTTAGACCTAAGGTTCCAAGTGCAAAGGCCCACCTCTGCTTAAGTTCACATCCATGACACTCCTGAGACTGTACCCCATATACTATGCTGCTGCTTAGACCTCACCTGCTAGACTCCCTAAAAAGTAAGGCTCTAGCTGGGCACTGGTGGCTCCTAGATACTCAGGAGGCCGAGATCTGAGGATCCAGGTTTGAAGCCAGCCTAGGCAGGAAAATCCATGAGACTCATCTCTAATGAGCCACAAAAAGCCAGAAGTGGAGCTGTGATTCAAGTGGTAGAGCACTTGCCTTGAGCACAAAAGTTCAGGGCTAGTAGTGCCCACTCCCCAAGTTTAAGCTCCAGGACCAGCAAACAAAAACAAAAAACTAGGCTCCGGTGTGAGCTGGAGCTGCTGGAGGAGGCTTCATGTACTTTCTTTTGCCTCTGGCCTGGTAGATGCCTGACAGCTTCCTTGCCCTAAAGTGGGGGACAAATAGTCCTTTAGGACTTAGGCATGTATGGGGTGCCAGCTCACTGGCTCTTCCTTCTTTCTTCAGAATGGTTCTTCGAGTTTGGCTTTGTGATCCCTAACTCCACGAACACCTGGCAGTCCCTGATAGAGGCCGCACCCGAGTCTCAGATGATGCCAGCCAGCGTCCTAACGTGAGTGAGGCCCCTGGAAACTGTGGGGTGTGTCTCAAAGCAGTCATGCCAGACAGATGGGACTCTGGGTCTCATCCAGGGGCCAGGAATAAGGGAGAAATAGGACAGGAATACACAAGGGTGTCACAGGTGACAGGCTACTGATTTCTGTCCTGTGAAGAAGGCAACATGACAGAGCAGAATCAAAGTTCTGATTAGGCTGGGTACCTGTAATTCTAGCTACACAAGAGGCTGATACCTGAGAATCACTGTTCAAAGCCAGCCTGGGCAGGCAAGTTCTTAAGACTCTTATCTCCAATAAACCACCAGAAAACCGGAAGTGGTGCTTTGGCTCAAGTGGTAGCTTGCTAGCCTTGAGCTGAAGAGCTGAGGGACAGCACGCAGGCCCAGCGTTCAAGCCCCATGACCAACCAAAAAAATAATAAATGAATAAATAAATAAAAATAAAAATAGCTGGGCGCTGGTGGCTCACACCTGTGACCCTAGCTATTCAGAAGACTGAGGTCTGAGGATTGCAATTCAAAGCCAACCCGGGCAGAAAAATCTGTGAGACTCTTATCGCCAATAAGCCACCAGAAAACTGGAAGTGGCACTACGGCTCAAGTGGTAGAGAGCTAGCCTTGAGCTGAAGAGCTGAGGGACAGCGCCCAGGCCTAAAGTTCAAGCCACACTGGCAAAGAAATAAATGACGGTTATCTCCAATTAATTACTTAAAAGCTGGAAGTGGAGCTGTAGCTCAACTAGTAGAGTGCCAGCCTTGAGCCAAAAGCTCAGGAACAGTATCCAGGCCCTGAGTTTTAAGCCCCAGGCCCAGCACCAAATAAATAAAAGTTTAGATTAGATCATGTTTTAAATTCCCAGTGCAGGGGCTGGGAAGGTGGCTCAGTGGTAGAGTGCTTGCCTTGCATGCATGAGGCCCTGGGTTCGATTCCTCAGCACCACATAAGCAAAAAGAAAAAAGCCGGAAGTGGAGTTGTGGTTCAAGTGGTAGAGCGCTAGCCTTGAGCTGAAAAGCTGAGGGACAGTGCCCAGGCCCAGAGTTCAGGTCCCACGACCAGACCCCCAAAAAAATTTAAATTCCCAGTGTACCTTACCTGCCATCTTGAGTGATATAATACCTTACCTTTCTGAACCTTTAGTGTTTCATCTCTCCAGTAAGAATGAACAAATCCCTCAAGAAGTAAAGATAAAATGAGACCACGTGGAAGGGAACTGGCAGAAAGTATACACTGCTTCTCCTGGCTGCTGACCCCTAGTATTTCTGTATTATCTGGATCACCTTAACAGTCTGCCACGGTCCTTTTTGTGACTCAGAATGTAATTTTGGTTACAAGTTCTCAGAAACTGTTTTAAGCTGCACTTGTAGCTCACACCTGTAGCTCACACCTATTGGAATGAGATCTGGGAGCTAGAGGCTCAAGCCAACCTTGGGAGAAATTTGCTAGACTCTTATCTCCAAAATAGCCAGGGAAAAGTGGGGCTGGAAGTATGGTTCAAGTGGTGGAGCACCAGCTAAACAAGCCAGCCAAGCCAAAAACAACAACAGTGTTTTTGCCCCAAATCAAGGTAGGCCAGACTCAGCTGTTCTTTGAAAGGTGCCTACCTTGACTAGCAGCCTAAGCTCTGCGCGAGTCCATGTGTAGGCCAGCCAGAAATCCGTGGGATCTGGTTCTCTACCACTCATACAGGGCGCTCTACCAAGGGCGGTAGTGTACTCAGAAGATAGTCTGGTTTCTCGGCTCGATGGGGACACACTCATCCTGTAAGTGAAGTGCTATGTAAACACCTCACCCATATAGACAAAAGATGTCCCTGTGTAGCTCAGGCTGGCCTTGAACTTGTGATCTTCCTGCCTCAGCTTCCAGTGCTGAGATTATATGCCCAACTCTGGACCAGAATTTCAGTGGCCCCAGCTACGGCTCTAGCTGGAGCCTCAGCCTGGCCAAGGACCAGGACAGGAAGCACCTGCGGAGCAGGGCCCGCCCCTTCCGGTTTCCAGGGCTCACCCTCCTGTCTTCTTTCCCGCAGGGGGAACGTCATCATAGAGACAAAGTTTTTTGATGACGATCTTCTTGTAAGCACATCCAAAGTGAGGCTTTTCTACGTCTGAGAGAAGAACGTCTGTGCACTTCAGGAATTTGGGGTTTGGGGGGGAGGAAAAACTGTTTACTTTTTTCCTCCACACATTTGATTTTTGACACTTCACCCAATTCTGTCGCCGCAGACCTGCCTATGGCCGCCGGGGACCAGCTCTGTATAGGTAACCAGATGGCTTCTTTTCTCCTAAACTGCCATCTTCCGTTGACCAGACAAAACTCCCAACCCCAGACCAGGGCAGGGGACGCGCCTCTACTCCTTCCTGGTGCAAACGTGGGAGCAAACGCATACCACGAGCCCACACTGCACACGCCCCTTGCCGCCGCCTCCCTGGGCCCTGCAGGCTTCCTTTGGCCCCTGGTTTTGGAAAACTTCCCGTTCCTGACCCATGTTTAGTTACTTTTCCTACCATTTCTATTTCATACATTCTCATACATTTACCTTGTAAAATAGACTATGATATTATTATTACATAATGTAATTAAAATATTGCTACAGTCTTTAGCATGGCACTGCTTCCATTTCTCTCCTTTTTTTCTGGAATGAACCTGTCTGTGAGGGAAGAAGTATTGTTGGCCAGGTACCAGTGGCTCACACCTGTAATCCTAGCTACTCAGGAGGCTGAGATCTGAGGATCACGATTCTAAGCTGGGTCAGGAAAGTCCATGAAACTCTTTTCTCCATTTAACCACTAGAAAACCAAAAGTAACTCTGTAGCTCAAAGTGGTAGAGCACTAGGCTTGAGCAAAAAAGTTTAGGGACAGAGCTTCAGCCTTGAGTTCAAGCCCCACAACCAGCAAAAAAAAACAAAAAAAACACATTTGTCACATAGTAAGACTTCAACTCCATTTTACTCCAGAGAAGGACCAATATCTCTTCTTCCTGAGTGGCTTGGTTGCTGCTTCCCAGAAATGTACTTTATGAGAAAGAACGATGGGGAAGCACCAGGCCGGGGCAGGCTAGACAGCTTTTAGGCCGTGGTCAGAGGAAGCCAGGGTGGGTGACACGAATCCATCTGTAGCACTCTCAGGCCTGTCAGAGAGCATCAAGTGGATTTCAAATATCAGAGAATATCAAATGCTTAGGACCCTAACCTCTGGGCTGCTGTAGCTTTCATGGTCCTTCATTCAATGCCAACAATTACAAGTCCTCTGAGAACCAGTGTCATGACTCATGCCTGTAATTCCACTCAAGTGGTAGAAGTAGAAGGATTTCAGACCAATACCAGTTCTGGCAAAGTGGGAGATCCTATCTGAAATTTAAGAAATGAAAGTAAAAGGAGTAGGGCGTGGTTCAAGTGGTAGAGCATTTGCTTAGCTTGCTTAGAAAGCATAAGGTCCTGCTGGACACACAAGCCTGTCATCCTAGCTACTCAGGAGGCTGAGATCTGAGGATCCAGTGCAAAACCAGCCCAGGGAAGAAAAGTCCCTGTGAGACTCTTCCTGTCCTACCTAGCTTTGAATCCTGACACTCAAATCTCAGCCTCCTGGTTAGCTAGGAACACAGGTGTGAGCCACCAGTGCTGGCTTCCAAAAGCGTTTTAAAGCCACGCAAGAGCAGTTCAGAGCACTGGTAATCCTCGAACCTGGAGAGGCTGAGGTTGGAAAGATCACAGTTTGAGTCTAGCCAGGATGGAAATCCTCTCAACTGAGAACGAAACTACTTTTTAAGTATAAAAAATTAGCCAGGCCCTGGTGGCTAACATCTGTGCTACTCAGGAGACTGAGATCTGAGATAAAGGTTCGAAGCCATCCTGGACAGGAAAATCAGTGAGATACTTATCTTCAGTTAACCACCAAAGAGCCAGAAGTGGAGCTGTGGCTCAAATATTAGAGTGCTAGCCTTGTGTACAAAAATTCAGAGAGAGGAATAGCACCGAATGAATGAATGAATGAATGGTCAAAATTTGAAATTTGTTGTTGTTGTTATTGGTCACAGGGCTTAAACTCTGCACTCTTCAGCTCAAGACTAGCGCTCTACCACTTGAACCACAGCACCACTTCCATTTTTCTGGTGGTTTATTGGAGATAAGACTCACAGATAGCTGGGCACGGGTGGTTCCTGTCTGTAATCCTAGCTACTCAGGAGGCTGAGATCCGAGGATCATGGTTCCAAGCTAGCCTGGGCAGGAAAGTCCGTGAGACTCTTATCTCCAATAAACCACTAGAAAAGCGGAAGTGGTGCTGTAGCTCCAGTGTTAGAGCGCTCACCTTGAGCTGAAGAGCGCAGGCCCCACAACTGACAAAAAAAGAATCTCACAGACTTCCCTGCCCAGGCTGGCTTTGAACTTCAATCCACAGATCTCAGCCTCCAGAGAAGCTAGGATTACAGGTGTGAACCACCAGCACCCAGCTTGATTTATTTTTATTTTTATTTATTTATTTATTTGTCGGTTGTGGGCTTGAACTCTGGGTCTGGGCACTGTCTCTCAGTATTTCAGCTCAAGGCTAGTGCTCTACCACTTAAGCAATAGCACAACTTCCAGTTTTTTCTGTATATGTAGTGCTGAGGAATCAAACCCTGGCCTCATGCATGCAAGGCAAGCACTCTACCACTGAGCCACCTTCCCAGTCCCTTAGCTTGAATTAAAAAAAAAAAAAAAAAAGGGTGAAAATCAGTTTACTCTTGCTCTCTTGAAATATTACCTTCTTTTTTTAAATTTTATTTTATTGTAAAGATGCTATACAGAGGGGTTACAGTTACTTGAGTCAAGCAATGAGTACATTTCTTGTTGAGTATTGTTACCCCTTCCTCATCTTACTTCTTAGAGAGGAACAATCTCCTCCTTTTCCTGAGCTGTATCTCCCCCAGTTCCCCGAGGGAACCCTCTTTGGGGACTGGACACTTTGCAGTACTGAAAGAAATTCCTAAAAAATGCTTCATGTCTCCACGCAGCCAACCTTGCCTACCTGCCTTAAGAAAAAAAGAATTACAGCTGGATACTGATGACTTGCTCCTGTAATCCTGGCTACTCCGGAGGCTAAGGTCTGACGATCGTGGTTCAAAGCCAGCCTAGACAGACAAATCCAAAAAACTCTTTTTTTTTTTTTTGTGGGGGGGGTCCAGTCGTGGGGTCTGAACTCTGGGCCTGGGCGCTGTCCCTCAGCTCTTCAGCTCAAGGCTAGCACTCTACCACTTGAACCACAACACCACTTCTGGCTTTTTTCTTTTTGCTTATGTGGTACTGAGGAATTGAACCCAGGGCCTCAGGCATGCAAGGCAAGCACTCTACCACTGAGCCACCTTCCCAGCCCCTCCAAAAAACTCTTATCTCTAGTAAACCACCAAAAAGCCAGTAGAGCTGTAGCTCAAGTAATAGAGCATTAACCTAGGGCAAAAAAAATTGAAGAGCCCGGTGCTGGTGGCTCATCTAGCTACTTGGGAGACTGAGATCTGAGGATCATGGTTCAAAGCCAGCCCAGGCAGAAAAGTCCCCATGAGACTCTTATCTCCAATTAAACATTCAAAAACACTAAGTGAAGCTGTGGCTCAAAATGATAAAGCGCTAACTTTGAGCAAAAAGCTCAGGACTCTGAGTTCAAGACTCAGGACCAACAACAGAAAAAAAAAGCTAAGGAACAGAGCCCTGAGTTCAAACACTAGAATAGTGTGTGCACACGTGTGTGCATGCACAGACACAATCTTATAAGTTGTTTGGACCCAATTACCCTGTGTGTGTGTGTGTTTGTGTGTGTGTGTGTGTGTGTGTGTGTGTGTGTGTGTGTTTTGTTTTTTTTTCTCCCGTAAGTTGTGAGGCTTGAACTCTGAGCCTGGGCACTATCCCTTAGCTCTTCAGCTCAAGGCTAGCGCTCCACCACTTAAGCCAGAGCACAACTTCCGGTTTTTCTGGTAGCTAATTGGAGATAAGAGTCTCATGGATTTTCCTGCCCATGCTGGCTTTGAACCACTATCCTCAGGTCTCAGCCTCCTCAATAGCTAGGATTACAGGCATGAGCTACCAGCAACCGGCTTACCCTGTATCTCTGAGTCTAGGTATACCATGAAAAAGTTACTGAGACACTAAGATTACTTTAGATGGGGAAAGGTTGGGACTTAAGACAATTCCATAGTTTGACAACACATTGATCACATACACACACACACTACACACACACACACACACACACACACACACACACACACACACACAGAAGGTACTAGCCACCATCATGGCTGTATCCCTGACTCCTGCACTATCAAGAGGGGTCTGGGCATTGGTGGCTCACGCCTGTAATTCTAGCTACTAAGGAGGCTGAGATCTGAGGGTCATGGTTCAAAGCCAGCCTGAGCAAGAAAGTCCATGAGACTCTTTGTTTTTGTTGTTGTTTTGTTGTTGCTGTTGTTTTTTGTCAGTTGTGGAGCCTGAATTGAGCCTTAGTGCTGTCCCTCAGCTCTTCAGCTCAAGACTAGCGCTCTACCACTTGAGCCACAGTGCCACTTCCGGCTTTTTCTGCTTTTGTGGTGCTGAGGAATCAAACCCAGGGCCTCATGCATGGGAAGCAAGCACTCTACCACTGAGCCACCTTCCCAGCCCCGTGAGACTTTTATCTACAATAAACCACCAGAAAACCAGAAGTGGCGCTGTGGCTCAAGTGGTAGAGCGCTAGCCTTAAGCTGAAGAGCTGAGGGACAGCGCCCAGGCCCAGAGTTCAAACCCCAATGGATAAAAAAAAAAAAATACTATGAATGTCTGTTCCTTATGAACCACCCACTTTAAGATGCTTTGTTACAGAAGCTCAAGCTCAGACACCCCTGTGCCACCTGCAGCCCCTCCTCCCTCATTCTCTCCTCACACCGTGGTCATTCCGCAGACTTCCTTCCCTTCGCTCCCCCAGGGCCCCAGACCCACAGGGTCCTCCCGGCCCCACAAGCAGCCAGAACTGAACTTGACTGTGTCCCTGTGCCACAAAGGCTGTGAACACGCTGTGGAAATAGTCACGGGGTCAGCAGTAGCTGAAGCTGCCAGAGAGCAAAACAAGAAATGCAGAGCTGATGATGGAGAGCAGTTCCTGACAAGCCGGAGCACCCGGATCCTGCTGCACCCGAAGCAGTGACAGACATGTCAGAACATTCCAGCCAAAGTAAATTCCCTTTCTTCATAAGCTAGTTTGCAACTGAAGGAGACCTGCATGTGCGCGTTGTGCATTGTGGCCTTGCCTTTTCTTTCTTTGCTTGCCTTCCCTCTCCCTCTTCCTTCTCCCCCCTCCTCCTCCCCCCTCCTCCCCCCCCTTCTCTTCCTCCTCCTCCTCCTTTTCTTCTTCTTCTTCTTTTCTGATAGTGGGGCTTGAACTCTGGGCCTGGGCACTGTCTCTGAACTCTTCAGCTCAAGGCTAGAGCTCTACCACTTGAGCCACAGCACCATAGCACCACTTCTGGTTTTCTGGTGGTTTATTGGAGATAAGAGTCTCACATACTTTGCTGCCTGGGCTGGCTTTGAACTGCAATCCTCAAATCTCAGCCTCCTGAGTAGCTAGGATTACAGGCATTAGCCACCAACACCGGCTTCCAC